CGAGCCGGCCCGGGGGGGGGGGGGGGCGCGCGGGGGGCTGCGGAGAGGCCCTCGGCTGGGGGAGCCAAGCCGCCGCTTGGTGCTGCCTGCTGTGACAGCGGCCGCGCTCCTGCCTTCCCCCGACGGGGCCACCGGGGACTCCGCCTGTCGCCTTTCTGTAGGAAGCGGGTTTATCGCTTTATCATTCATGAGGTTATCATTTGGGGCTAGAGGTAGAAACGGGAAGGAAGGCCAAAGGCGGGATGCGGTGCTGCCCTGCCTGGCTTCCCCTGCCTCACCCCGCCGCAGAGCCCGGAGCCTGAGGCAGGACTCGATGCTTCCTGCGTCCGTGGTGGAAAGATGCGCCTTAGAAAACGCGTGTGCTGAGCAAGGAGCTGCTAAGAGCTCCTTAATCATCTAATGTATTAAAAAAGCTTGTGAAGCGGTGTCTATTAAAGTTGTGCCTTCCTCAGAGACTACCGGCAGAATCCGCAAATTCGCTGTGTTCTAGCAGCTGCTGCTCTGAAGGAGGGGCTGCTAGATTCATGCTGGTGGCTGGAAGGAGCCCAGAGGGACATGGGTGTGCTGGGTGCCACGATTCCTTGCTTCACCGCTTGTCACTGAGGGTGGCTTTTGGCCTGCCAGGGACCAAGTGTTTGCTTAATGGCAAACACAGCAGCAGTCTGGGGACTGTAATGCAGCACTGCATCACAGATCTAAGATCCTCCTTGTGCATCTTCCATTATTTTCTGCTGTGTGAGCTGTCTTCAATAGGCTGTCTTCCTCCTTTGTCCTCTTTCTTCCCCCTGCTCAAAATTTCTGAAGCTGTGTAATTAAAATATTCTTCTCTGAAGCTGGGAAATAGGGTTTCAGCACTCCCTGACTGGGAGCCAGCATCCTACTTCTTGACACTGGCCAGCCAAATGTTAAGTGAAGCAATTGAAGTAGCAGGGCAGACACAGGAAAAATGTTTCTGGAATACTCTCAGAACTCCCAGTAACTCAGTTCTAAGGCAGTAAATGTAACATGCTGCTTGCTTTAATTTTCAGGAACACGTTAAGTAGTAACAGCTGCTCCCAGAAGTATTACAATCAGTAGTTCTTCAGAAGTAGGGTTGTTTGTTGTTTGGTTTTTTTTAACGGGAGCATAATCTTTGGAGCAGGGATTGCATTGGATGCACTTTGTATGGCACTTAGATTGTAGTTACAAATAAAAATCATCTAATGCTTTTAAGTGGGAATATAAATTTTAAATTTTGTCTTGTTTCTAAATCTATTATCTTTATATGCATTATAAACTGACCTTCGCAACAGTCTGTAAACTAGGAAGCAGCATTTTTTTGATGAATCAGAAGGATAGGGAAGTTTTCGCAGAGAGCTTGAGGGACTTTCCCCAGTCACACATGAAGAGCACCAGAGGAACATTCCTACTTCCGTTCTCAGAGTCCTTTACAAGTTTCCCGTTTTTGTCCACTTTGGACACAGTTACCCTGGTGTTTGCCAGGAACTCCTTCCCTTGATGATATGACAGCTTTAATTTTTATTTTTCCTACCTAGAAGATCTTCCTTGATCCAATTATGAAAAAATGTTTAGAAAAGGAAAAAAACGACACAGCAGCAGCAGCTCACAAAGCAGTGAAATCAGTACTAAAAGCAAGGTAAGCTGAATTTGGTATATGCTGTGTTTGTGGAAGCACTTTCATTTGTTACAAGTTGGCAGTTCAGTGGTTCGCTTGCACTGATGGTAGGATGTGATTTCCATAAAATGCCATGTTCCACAAGGAGAACTTTCTACTTCTACTATTCCTTAGATTGTGCTATGAGAGTTAAAAACCCTATCCGTTATAAAGCCCTTGTATTCTGAGATGAATGCTCGATTGCTTCCATAGTGAAGCCCACAAACACAAGAGTTTCTGGCACCACATAGTAGGGTTTGGAGGAAAAAGTAGTACGTTTGTTCTGTAGTGATAAATATTGTCTTTAAGAAGGTGCCTGGTGCTAGGTACCAAGAATGAGTTTATCCTTCAGTACTAGTTGGTTACTCAGTGTCTCTAAAAAGTATTCTTCGTTTTGAATAATGTGTCCATTTTGTCTGATAGGTTTTGGAATGATCAGTTGAATATTCTGGATTTTCCAAGGTGCCGTTTCACTTCCCTTGCACTGCTATGTTATTTCAAGCATTGGTGACAAGCATGTAGTTGTCAATTTCTTCAAGTTAAGATGCAGTACCAGAAAAGTCTGGACATAACCTTAAGGTTCATTTTCTCTTTTTCTTTTATTTCCTCCTCCTTTCAAAGTATTTGTGGACTTCTCAAGGGTTCCTGCTGAATTTATATCAGTCTAATCTACATTGAGGCAGAAAGAGAACTTCAGGAAAGAAATAGGTGGTGGTGTTTTTTTCTCCCCATTTTGCAGTGCTGCTTAAGTAATTAGAACATAAACACTAGTTTATTTAAAAAAAAAAACAGTTGAGGCAGGGCATCTAAAAGGGAATTGTTAATATGTTCTCAGCAACTTTCTGATGATACTAATTTTTTTTCTTAGTCTGTAGATTCCAGTCTTGGGGGACTTTCCCGATCTAGTACTGTGGCTAGTCTAGATACAGACTCCACGAAAAGTTCAGGTATGTAATCACAAGTTTGAGCAGGTATGTATCGAGCAGGATTAACTTTATGTGTGTTCATATGAAAGAGCAGAAAATGGAAAAGGTTAAAATACGTGTTTTTAATAATCATGAGTGAATCTGTTAGCCTGTTGACTAATGCACGCATAGCTCTAGGCTTCTAAAGTATTATTAATGATTCACCTAGGATTAAGTCACTCTTTTCGAAGTAAAGTGTCTGAGTAAGAAAAGCTTAGTTGTGTTACTAGTCTCTTACGCAGCATAAATCTGGTATAACTTTTTGGAAGCTGTGTTTCCTGCTTTTCTAAGTTTACATTTGCACTGAAATAATGGAAATAAGATTTGATTTTACTTGTTCTTGCTCACCAGATCACAGCACATCACTGTTGGACCAAACAGTTCATTTAAAACGAATATATATATAAAAAAGTAGAACCAGCTTTTCTATGTTTTCTGATTTAAGATTGTTAACTCTAAATTTGAATTAGTATGAACAGTGGTGTATCATGGATTTATATAAAACTGTTGCCTTTACCAAGGGCTCTTCTGAATCAACCCAGGACAGTTCATTAAAGAGAGGAGTTAATACACTGTGGTAAGATTAAGTGTTTGATGAAAGTCTGCAAAAATGATGGAATTTAATAAGTTAGCCCCATTAACACCAATTAGAATAGCATTGCTGTTCTGGAATTCTTCAGGATTGCTTTGTTTTATTCTGTTGCAGGACAAAGCAATAGTAATTCTGATACGTGTGCAGAATTCAGAGTTAAATATGTTGGTGCCATTGAAAAATTGAAGTATAATGAGAGCAAAAATCTCGAAGGGCCATTGGACTTGATAAATTACATAGATGTTGCACAGGTAAGTAAGTGGTTTACAAAAGACAATACCAACAACGCCAGAATGTCTTAAGCTTAGGTGCATTTCTTTCATATTATCACATGATCTGACATCTTTCTTTGTAAATTTTAGACTTACTAGAATAAAGTAGCTTACTTTAAAAAACATTAAGCTATGAATCTCAAAAGCTGTCACACTCAAGTCCGTCCTATTCAGTAACTGGTGAAGATGCACCAAAAAAGCTGTTCTGAAGAAACAGACTCAGAGCGAAGGCGCTTTTCATGAGTCATTACTGAACAAGTATCCCAACTGAAAGTTGTTATATTGTCTGCAGCACTGTTAGGATTAGTATCCAGGAAAGAGTATCTCCCCCAGATTTTCTCACTAGTGTAGAAGTTTTCCCGTAGAGGAAAATGTCAAGTTTCTGCTTACAATCACTTACGAACCTGTGACCAGAGAACCTGAATAATATTTGGGTCATCCTTGCCAAACTGTGGTTACTTGTACTTATTTTTGTACTAAAAGCCGTAACTGGTTGTTCTCATTAGGTAGCTGATCGTTTGTATCTTTAAAAGCACAGAATGTCTGTTTATCTTAGAGCAACTTGACATTTCAAGTATCTGAATATATGCTAAAACTATTTTTACAACCAAATAACAAAATTGCTGCCAGTGTGGAACATAGATCACCCAGGGTTAGCACAGCATGATAGGGCATGCATTATTTTTCAGCCCATCTGATCTGACCACAGGGCCAAACTGCCCCCCGAGATGATAAATTACAGATGAATCATGTAATATTTAGAATAGAACAGAATAGACTATTTCAGTTGGCAGGGACCTACAAGGATCACCTACTCCAACTGCCTGACCACTTCAGGGCTGACCAAAAGTTGAAGCATGTTATTAAGGGCCTTGTCCAAATGCCTCTTAAACACTGACAGGCCTGGGGCATCGACCACCTCTCTGGGAAGCCTGTTCCAGTGTTTGACCACCCTCTCAGAAAGAAATGCTTCCTAATGTCCAGTCTAAACCTCCACTGAATACATTTCACATAAAGTTAAGGGATTGGATGAGTGCAGGAGTGGCAGGCAAACTCCACACAGCAGGGTATGAGCAGGGTTGGTGATGTTGCTGATCCAGGGGACTGAAGTATACATAAACACATTTTCTATTATGCATCTTCGTTGTTCACGTTCTTCTGTCTGCACTAAAGGCTTTTGTTTGTTTCCCTCCAAAGCAAGATGGAAAGTTACCTTTTGTTCCAGGTGAAGAGGAGTTTATTATGGGAGTTTCCAAATACGGCATTAAAGTTTCAACATCTGATCAGTATGTAAGTGATTCACAACAAACTGTCTTTTTGGTGAGAGTTGAAAAGTGCTTTCATTTATTTCTCTGATAGATGATCTGTGTGACCAAAATGTCACTTCTGGCTTTAAGCAAAAGTAAAACAAAAAAAAGCTCTCACAGCAGCACTGCTTCATGTCGTATCTCCTCAGGGCTCTCTGTATTTTCCTGGTTGGATTTATGACAAGAATCCATTCCTTTTGAGATAGAGCACCAGGCAAAAGGCAAGCAAGCCTTTATGCTCTTTGGGCACATCTTCCTTTCTCTGTGGCTGTCCTGCCATCCTCTCACATGGAAAAGTAGCATGACTGGTGGCCAGGACATAGGTTCCTCAGCCTGAGTTAGTAATGCAATTCCTGTTGATGTTACTGTGGAGAGGAAAAAGCAAAGGATGTTTTTTTCAAGAATACCTGAGTTGTCTTCCTCTTTGAAGTTCCAGCCTTGCACTCCTAATCCAAGAGCGGGAGTTCACTCCAGCATTAAAGCCTCATGATTCCACTTTATTGATCAAGCCTATTTTTTGTTTGCATCACTTCCTACACGCAGGTTATTTTCCTTTAGCGCACTTCAAGTAGCTTTTTTGCTAAAAATAAAAATCCGGTCTCTTCCCCAGGGCCCTCCAGTTGCCTTTGTGTAGCTTTGTATTGCAGCCATGTGGTTTCCTTCTGGTTGCCCTCAGAGCCCCAGATACCATAAATACTTGGCCTTATGAAGTCATGACCCATCAACAACCCAGCAATGCGTGTTCATAAAAGCCTCAAGTATGAGGACGGTGAATAGCATTGCTCCATAGCCGAATACTCTGAAGAGAGCCAAAAAGTTTCCTTTGGTCCCTTCAGAAAATAAAACACTTGTTTCTAATGCGTGGGAAGAAGTGTAGTAGTTGTTGCGCAAACTTTGAATTCTTTTGGGTTCTGTTTTTGCTGTCCTCCTAAATTCTTAATTCTCATTAAGAACATAGGTTACACTATTATTTAAATTCCTTTGTACTTTGATAAAGATCAAATAGGTAATTTTAAGACTTTTATCCATCATTCTTCTGGCTTCAAGCTGAAAGCATGCACAAGCTGATAAAGCCTTCTGTGATTAAGCTAGCTTGCACTGGCATTTTATTGCATTGCGTTCTGTTTCCCAAATTCTGGCTTTTTGCATCTGTGTCACTGTTGACATTTAATTTGTCCTTTAGTGTGTTAGTCCGCCTAACTCCTTCATAGAGTTCCAAGATGGAAAGGTTTTATCTGCATTCATACAAAGAATTCAGTCTTTTATGACTTGGGGGAAAGGTGAGAGTTCTGTGATTTGTAGATACCTTTGCAGGTGAATAGGCAGCTATTTATTTCAGATGCTAAAAAGAGAACTGAGTGAAGGATACAAAAGTTTTCCTTGTGGATTTCAGCCAACGTTTGAGAAATTATTTCATTAGTGACTGAAATATGTACAGATGTGTAATTCATTGATACACTTCCATTGTTTGTGGATGCAACCACTAGAAATCAAAGGTGAAGTATTTATAAAAGTCACACGGAGGCTTTGGCCTTCTTCACATTCTGTTTGCGTGTATTTGTACATTATATATATGTACATACATGTATGGCACAGTTTGTCCATCCGCCATCTCATTTCTCTCTCAACTGCAGAATCCCCTCATAGCCAAATACTGGAAGGAGGGAAGGAAATGAATTTACAGGGGGAACTCTATCTTCCCTCTTTCAGTGATGATCCACATGCACATTAGCACTGTAGCAAGTTCCAAGCAAGTAACTCTAAAAAGTTACAAGCAATTTGGAGGCAAATCTTGTCATCTTTCATACAGAGACTGGAGGGTTGATCCAGTAAGTTCTGCGTCGGCTCCAGCTGCCTTCAGCATGGTATGATAGTTGGTGGTGGTATGAATAATTGTGAGCGATTGCTGAGTGAATGTCAGGCATGGAGATGTTTTTCAGCAAGGGGATCTTAGAAGGTCTGGTAGAGGGCTCTCCTTCGAGGGTTTCACAGCAGGCATCAAGCTCACTGTCCATTTTTACAGCTTCTGTATAGAAATGGACGTTTCTTTATATCCTTCAGCTACTGACAGGGACAAGGTGTTCGATGCCATGAATGTAGAAAAAGAGCTGTCTTGAAGTCATAAGACCCTAGAGGTGGTATGACAGGAATAAAGCAGATGAATATTATCGGTTGGGTAGGATGGCTTCAGAAGAAAGGCTTTGTGTAGGGTAGGTCTGCGGTGGATAGTAGAAGTCTCCCAGACTAGATCTCTGGAAGAGTCAAGACCCATGCTGTGGCTCAGGCCACAAGTGGCCTAGCTATATCCATATGGCTATCCCACCTCCACCCCAAAGCAACTAACCTTGTCCATACCCTCTTCTGGGAACAGTTTCTTGTGTGTGTACCCTTCCCAGAACTGAGACAGGGGATTGTCTGGAAGAATACTGGAAAAGTAAAAAGTTGTTTTAAGTTACCTCTGTGCCAGAGGTAACTGTACCACCTGTACCTACTGTACAGGTACTGTACTGTACCACCTACCCTACTCATAGTGGGTGAGTGAGGATAGGTGGGAAACAAATGTATGCTTTCGTAGTATGGCCAGGAATATCGTCCACATACGAATACGATTCTAAAATAGAAGCAAAAATTAAAGCTAAAATTGTGTTAAACCAGCACTTACTTTTTTAAATCTTGACTAAACTCTCAATTAAAAAATTATAATTTTACCAAGGAATACTTTTCTCCTGTAAATACATCTTTAGTATTCTTTTGTAAGAGAGAGAATCTAAAGCAGGTGGAAAACTGAAATCGCTGTTGCACTGTTCCAGAGTAACTTTTATTTGCCACGTGGTTTCAGGATGTGTTACATAGGCATGCTCTCTATTTAATTGTACGGATGGTCTGCTATGATGATGGTCTGGGAGCAGGAAAAAGTTTACTGGCTTTGAAGACAACAGATGCAGCCTCTGAAGAATGCAGCCTCTGGGTGTATCAGTGCAACAGTTTGGTAAGAGTTTATGTTTACAATATTTAATTTAGGTATCAGTATGTTGATTGTAAAGGGAGATTCTGAAACCCAAGGCCCTTGTGAAGGCATTTTGGCAGAAAGGGGATTGCTCAGTTAAAAAGAGTATAAATGTGCCCTGGCTGAGGAGGGGAGAAAAGCCCTGCTGACTGCACTTGATCTGCTTTGAGGAAAAATACCTACATTCCCTAAAATCGCCAATGAAAATCGGCCTGAGAAAGCTCTTTGCAATCATAGCTGCTAAGGACAATCCTCCGTTTGTATTTTCAAAGACAAAACCAAACCTCTTAAGATCGGACAGAGCAGGGAGGGATTGAGTAACAATTCTGGTAATAGAGCGTGCATTCATATTTGTAAGCAAGGGAAGTGATCTCCTCTTAAGAGTAGGAGAATTTATTGTCAAGATACTATGGTATGACACATACCTTTAGCAGCACTGGGGGAACACGTGAACTGACTTTCTGAATGCTAGTGTCACGCTATGATGAAAGCTAACAAACAACTCCGACTTGTTTCAAAAGAGCTCATTTAAAACAGCTTCCCACGTGTCATTGCAGACCACGGAAATCAATTAAATCTCACTTGTGCTACTCCATTTTGCATGTCTCTGCCAAAAGAATGATAAAGGTCACATTCTGCTTTAAATGGGTTTTGAGATGTTTAGAAGTTTTTCAGAAAGTGTTAATGCGCGTGTGTGGATTTTTTTAGGAACAAGCACAAGCTATTTGCAAAGTGTTATCTACAGCCTTTGATTCAGTTTTAATGTCGGAGAAGTCCTGATTTTCTTCAGCAGCACATGATGGTGTAGTACAAGAGGCCTTTGTGTGAGGAGGAAATGCTGCTCCTTTGATACCACAGACTGGCTGTAGCTACACACAAACTTAGAAGGGACTTGCTGTGCAAAGAAGAGCCATGCAACCTTGCACATGGTACTTTGTCATTCCCCAAACACAACTTGAAGAAATTATTCCATCTTCAGTTTCCAGGACAATGCAGAATTTTATATTTAACATTTTTTTCCCTAAGTCATGTTTTGTATATTAATGTCAATATTGTAGGAATGTAAAATAAAACTGACATGTGCTTCTATCTCTTTGTCTGAAAAATGATTTGTCAATATAGACTTCAGTTCTGTGTAACATAGATATTAGAACAGAACAATAACAGCAAAGTGATAATAAGTAGTCATTTGGTGCTGTACACTTCTAATTTAATCTTAGGTGTGACATCTATGCCATTTCTACATTCAACTAAAAATCCACAAGATGTACTTTTTTTTTTTGCTCAAGTGCTACTTTTTCGTAGTTCTCATTTTACACATTGAAAAGAACAATATTGCCGAAGCAATGCAGGGTAACAGAAGAGAAGTAGCCAGTGATTTTAAAAGTAGTTTTATTTTTCCAGACATTTGACTGGTTAACAAGAGTAAAATTTATTAATCATGCTCTAATTATAAATCACTGCATCCAGGACATTGAAAATAAGAGTTGATTTTAGGTTATACAATATATACAGTTGCTCTGCAACTAAACAAAATAAAAACAACTGAATTGAATATTATACATCTCATAGCATTCTAAGCTGCATTTTAAGTGTCACTTGCTCCTTTTTAAACAGTTAACACAGCAACCTAATAGTCTGTCTATTAACAGGTTTTTTTGAATCATTATTTTAATCAGATTTGAAAAGTTGTATGAAATATGCCAAAATTTTGGACTTAAAATTCTTAATTTTATATTATAAATAGATATCTACAGGCTCTAGAATTTCTTCTTCCTCTGCCAGAGGAGCAAACTTCTTTAAGAAACACTGAAAAATCTAGGGATAAATTTTGCTTAGCTGCTCTTTATTGGTCCGTGAGATTTTATCTGTCTGCACTGTTAGTGCCATTAAGTTGTATTCGACAAGTTTCCTGGTTTCTAAGTGACCAGTGAACGAGGTTGTGACATTTTAAAGTGTATTCCTCTTCTAGCAGAACTCAAGGAAAATTTGCATCATTGTTTAACTTTACGAGTTGTTACATACACTATAAGATTCTGTGTTAAAAATACTGTACATTAGGAGATCTGTGCAAAATAATATGCCCATTTACTCTCTAGACTCTATCAGGGATAGAAACATACAAAATAGTGTTGCAAACTGAACATATCAGTAAGTGAGTAAAACTGTAGTGCTAAACTATTACTCTGTCATTTTCCTGGGAACTTTGAAAATACGGACTAATCTGCTTCAACTTGCAACAAAAATATCTTGAAACATTCCAGTTTGTTCCCCTTTTATACTGCAGCAACAGCATCTAGAAAATGAAAGTTACGCATATACTTGGCTGTACCTACACATTTGAGAGGCTATCAACCAACTGTACCATTTAGGAAAGGCGATACAAGGTAAGATCAGTGTTGCTCTTCCAGCACTAACGCCATGTGATTTTTCTCCAAATAAGCATATGGTGGTGGCCTATTTTCCATTCCGCTCAATATGAAATGGCCAATTTAAACACCATTTGTCAGAAATTCAAAGTTCTCTTGATAAATCTAGAGATACAATATTCACAAAACGTGATCAAAGCCAATGTGACCTAGACATTGATTTTTCTCATCCTATGCCATCAGTTGTTTCCTGTAGCATAAGCAAAAACTGGTACAATTTCACAATATACAAACATCAAAATGACGTCAGATTTGTACTGGTGTTTTGTATTCCATCAACCAACTGGGAACCGTCCATGGCCTAGCCTTTGTTCACAAATTAGTAAAACAAATTTAACAACAGTGTAGCTACCATATATGTGGGTATATTATATAAATACAGAGTGCGTTAGCAAACTCTCATTGTTTGCAAGGTAGTGGCACACAACTTTTATAAAACAGAACATAACGTAGTATACTTGTGAGGTGATACCTTATTGACCAAGGATAATTATCTAAATGTTCCACCAAATATGTTCTCTGTGTGAACACATTGCTGGATGATTTAAGAAAATTCAAGAATTCCAAAACAAAGTCTAAACACTATAATGAGACAAAGTGTAAGAAATGCTCTGCAATCCATCATCATAGTTAAGTACATTTCAGGAAGTGCAGTTTTCATATCCTTGAGTTAATGTAGTAACTCGTTAATATTGCCATAGTTGAGTTAACCAGCAGTAGTCACGTTAAATGACCAAAATGGATGTAACATACATAAAGAACATTCAAAAAACAGGTTCTACACACGTGCAGCATAGAAAAATGAAACAGTCTCAAGCTCACAAAATTAGAACTAGGAAGTTCAACGACTAACACAGATTTCAGATAACTTTAAGCAAATATCTACATCCATTCTGAAAGAAAGAAGTTTCTCCTGTGGTAAACTGAAATACTTTTTCACTTTTACCTGGCCAAAGACACCCGATTAAAATAGTTTCTTCCTTAATAGTTGACCTCCTGGATGACAGCCAGCACGGCAAGATGCTGAATGAGTCCAATTTAGAACTACGCAACAGCTTGCATGTTTTGGTTCTAACACTTCAAATAATGGTATCGAGAATTGGATAAATTCACTGCCCTGTTAGATGCACACAATTTCTTTGACTGGGGAAGCAACGCTGAACTGTGGTATTGTCATGTTACAGAAGGGAGAATAAAATTACAGTGACTTGATTGAAAAGAATATTCATAATGTTGTGATGTTCACACACTTACATGGATTTTGATTGTTAAAGCTTTTCAGTTCACCTTGAAAAATACAGGAAAAGTTGGGTTTTTTTAAAGTGTAAACTGCTCATGAGAAGTCTTCACATAGAAAAAAGTTTTAAAAGTCCCAAAATCAGAACGATGGCAATAAAAAAGTATCCTACAGTAACTAGGACTTGGGCAGTGCTCTGGCAAGGTGTCTGCAGACAGGTAGATGAAATGAAATAGAGCAAAACTTATTTCTGTGACCGCTGGAAATGAGAAATGTCTCCACTTATCAGTAGCAATTTAGTCAACAATAAAGTGCACAAATGATACAGGGAAAGCTCCTTTCCGACTGGGGTCTCCATCAATATGACCAATCTGAAAGAGTCCAGATATTTTTCAAGTTAATCTCAAAAAGGCATCTCAGTATCACCAAAATGAATACCAGTGACCTTCCTGCCTGTAGCACGACAAAGCCTCTCCCTACATCTTTTCTGCAGTGGTGGTCTTTTTCTTCTGCCAACGGGAAACACTACCAGAAAATTCAGTCCTACAAGGTGCATTTGTTATTCAGCTACAGACATTTTTTTTCAAATTCTGTTTTATCCAGTTCTTTGAAAGTAACACCTCTTAATGCAGTACCATTGCTACATTATTTCAGCGCATTCTGCAATGCCTGGCAGCCCATATTCTGCTGCTGTTACGTTGCTTCTGCTTCCCCCTCTTAACAATCACTGGAAAGTAAAAGCATGGATCAAGCTTCAACAGTTCTGGCTTTTACATGAATCTATTTGTGTTTATACAGCATTATTGTCAATGTAGATGCAATTTGAAGTTCTATTCTTCGCTAGCTAACAGAGTAAGGCAAGTGTTTTCACACGTAACAATTTCCCAAGACTTTGCTTCAGCTGATGAGTGTACATAGTTGAGACTGTTTCCCAGCTCAAATAGACCATTTCTCAGTCTCAGTCAGCTGAAGAATTACAAAGCTGTCTTCTCAGGCCCACCACACAGCATCTTCAAGGGAGATGAAATAGTAGCAGATTCTTAAACTGCTCACACCCACCAAGAATTTCCTGAATCACACAGACTATGTCCCCTGTATATTGTGAACCCTAGTAATCAGATTTTTTTTTTTTTTTTTTTTATTGAAAAAAGAA